CAACAGAGATAAAAATCTAGTAATGGGACCAAGAGAAGTGGAATTATGTAAGAGGCGTGTGTTTGGTGGGGTGGGGTGTTTGAGGCAAAAGATAGCTGAAATTATTGCCATATCTCTTTTTTTTTTTTTTTTGAGACAGAGTTTCACTCTTGTTACCCAGGCGGGAGTGCAATGGCGCGATCTCGGCTCACCGCAACCTCCGCCTCCTGGGTTCAGGCAATTCTCCTGCCTCAGCCTCCTGAGTAGCTGGGATTACAGGCACGCGCCACCATGCCCAGCTAATGTTTTGTATTTTTAGTAGAGACGGGGTTTCACCATGTTGACCAGGATGGTCTCGATCTCTTGACCTTGTGATCCACCCGCCTCGGCCTCCCAAAGTGCTGGGATTACAGGCTTGAGCCACCACGCCTGGCCACCATATCTCTTTTTGTTTTTCCCCTTCTCTTGCTTAGCCTTGATTTTTTTTTCCAGATATTGTAAATGAGGGTTATTACAATTTTGATTTGTTAGGTTCTCTCTAGCTCGATAGCTATCCTTTAAAATAGTTGCAATGCCATTTTGTTGAATTTGATTGTATTAACTGTCTTAAGTTTAAGGTTTTTCTTTGTTGTTTTTTTATCCTTTTGAGAGTCTCGCTGTGTTGCCCAGACTGGAGTGTAGTGCAATCTTGGCTCACTGCAACCTCTGCCTCCCGGGTTCAAGTGATTCTCTTGCCTCAGCCTCTCCGAAGTAGCTGGGACTATAGGCGCATGCCACCATGCCCGGCTAATTTTTTGTATTTTTAGTAGAGATGGGGTTTCACTGTGTTAGCCAGGATGGTCTCAATCTCCTGACCTCGTGATCCACCCACCTGGGCCTCACAAAAGTTTAAGGTTTTAATGAGTCTCTTTTGTAAATGGAATGTATGTTCAAGTAGTTTTATGAAACACCTTAATCCTGTGTGATATTATTTCTTTAACATATAGCCTGTCTTCAAGGACAGAAATTTTGACCCAGTATTCCCTCTACTTTGAAGATACGTGATGGGAACCTAAATATAAAAAAAACTTGAAGTAGATAAGTGTGCCATAAAGCCATTTGATTGTATGTTTTTAGAGTGAATGTAACTGTGGGTTATAACACTAGTGAAAATGATTAATACTGGCCAGGCAACATGGCTCATGCCTATAATCCACTTTGGAAGGCCGAGGAAGGTGGATCACTTGAGGTCAGTTTAAGAACAGCCTGGCCAACATGGTGAAACCCCATTTCTACCAGTAATACAGAAATTAGCTGGGCATGGTGGTGTGTATCTGTAGTCCCAACTACTCAGGAGGCTGAGGCACGAGAATCGCTTGAACCCAGGAGGCAGTTTGCAGTGAGCCAAGATCATGCCACTGCACTCCAGCCTGGGCAACAGAGCAAGACTCTGTTCTTTACAGAAGAGGAAAGTATAGTACATGTATCAGTCCATTCTTGCAGCGCTATAAAGAAATACCTGAGACAGGATAATTTATAAGGAAAAGAGGTTTAATTGGCTCACAGTTTCAGGGGCTATCTAGGAAGTATGGTGGCATCTGCTTCTAGGGAGGCCTCAGGGAGCTTTTACTCACGGCAAAAGACAGAGTTAGAGCCACCTGTCTCACATGGCAGGAGCAGGACCAAGAGAGAGATAGGAGGAGGTGCCACACACTATTAAACAACCAGATCTAGGCCAGGCGCATGGCTCGCACCTGTAATCCCAGCACTTTGGAAGGCTGAAGCAGGTGGATCACGAGATCAGGAGTTTGAGACCAGCCTGTCCAACACGATGAAACCACCTTTCTATTTAGAAAACAAACAAAAAAACAGCCAGATCTCATGAGAACTCTATTACAAGAACAGCACCAAAGGGATGGTGCTAAAGCATTCATGAAGGATCCACCCCCATGATCCAGTCGCCTCCTCCCAGGCACCACCTCCAACATTGAGGATTACAGTTGAACATGAGATTTGTGTGGGGACGTAGATCCAAACCGTATCAGTATATTATAAGCCAAAATGAATTTTTCACGAATTCAAGAAGCTAAGTAGTATACCAAGAATCTTTTCACAAGGTCCAAATAGCCAGTACCCCACTTTTCTTCCCTGGCAAGAAAGTCAGAAAAGTTCTTTCTTTAAAATGTATCCTTTAAAGTTGATTTATTAGAATAACGAGAAGAATGAGTTAAAGGAACATTCAAAAATTTCTAACTCTTCGTTGTCATTTCCAGGAAATACATGAAGTTTTTCTTAATTGATGTTAGAATGTTCTGTGCTTGAAGAGGGCTTCAGGTGGTGACACCTGGCAATGGGAAAATGTTTTTGAAATGCCAGCTGCCAGAATTATGGGCAACAGGAATGAAGAGCCAGAAAACATCTTTCCCGATTTTTCAAAAAAAAAAAAAAAAAAAAAACAAAAACCTTTCTTTTAATTCTTTTTTTTTTTTTTTTTGAGTCAGAATCTCTCTCTGTTGCCCAGGCTGGAGTATAGTGGTGCGATGTTGGCTCACTGCAACCCCCGCCTCCCGGGTTCAAGCAGTTCTTCCTGCTTTAGCCTCCTAAGTAGCTGGGATTACAGATGCCCACCACCATGCCCAGCTAATTTTTTTGTATTTTTAGTAGAGACGGGGTTTCACCGTGTTGACCAGGATGGTCTCTATCTCTCGACCTTGTGATCCACCCGCCTCGGCCTCCCAAAGTGCTGGGATTACAGGCTTGAGCCACCGCGCCTGGTCTGTTTTGTTTTTTTGAAATGGAGTCTCGCTCTGTCCCCAGGCTAGAGTGCAGTGACACAATCTCGGCTCACTGCAGCCTCTACCTCCTGGGTTCAAGTGGTTCTCTTTCCTCGGCCTCCTGAGTAACTGGGATTACAGGCATGTACTACCATGCCCAGCTAATTTTTATATTTTTAGCAGAGATGGGGTTTCACCATCTTGGCCAGAATGGTCTCGATCTCTTGACCTCATCATCCACCTACCTCATCCTCCCAAAGTGCTGGGATTTTTGGCATGTCTCCCAGGCTGGTCTCGAACTTCTGACCTCAGGTGATCTGCCTGCCTTGGCTTCCCAAAGTGCTGGGATTACAAGTGTGAGCCACGGTGCCTGACCCATATACTCTTAAGGCAAGGAAAAAGCGTTTTTGTTACCAAACTGAATGATAAAGGGCGTGTGAACTTTTTCTTTACTTCTCAGAAGCCCTTGATCTCTATAGGATAGATTTGATAGAAAAATGAGTGAATTTTTTCCCTGCTGAATTTATGTGTTGGGAGGAAAGTGGGCTCAGAGTTATTAGCTCTTTGTACAGAACGTTAGAGAAAAGTAAGATAGCTTGAGCTCTATAAGCATTAGTATAGAGGATTTAAATTTATTTCATTGTGTCTGAGGCTACTGAACTTAATGTAATCAGTGACCTTATGCCCCCACTCTGCATTCAGTAAGGAATACATAAGTTAATGATAGATACAGTCAGGCGTGGTAGTTCACACATGTAATCCCAGCACTTCAGGAGGCTGAGGCGATTGAATCACTTGAGCCTAGGAGATCAAGACCAGCCTGGCCAACATGGTGAAACCCAATCTCTACAAGAAAAAAAAAAAAATTAGCTGGACATGGTGATGCTTACCTTTAGTCTCACCTGGAGAGTGAGGTGAGAGGATGACTTTTCGCCTGTAATCCCAGGTACTTGGGAGGCTGAGGCATGAGAATCGCTCGAACCCAGGAGGCAGAGGTTGCAGTGAGCTGAGATCGAGTCACTGCACTCCAGCCTGGGTGACAGAGTGAGACCCCATCTCTAAGTAAATAAATAATAAATAAATAAATATTTAAAAACATAAGTTAATGACAGATTTGAACAAAGGAAATTACACTATTGAGATTTGTCTGCTACATCCCAGGTTGTCACCGAGGAAATGGCTTAGATGAGATTCTAAATCGTCACTGAAGAGAATTTGAGACATTCATAGAAGTATGTTGTATTCTCTGTAATGAGTGTATGGCCATCCCCATTTGGGGGCAAGTGTTTGCATTTATGTTCTTGATTTAAATGAAATTGTTTTCAACTGAAAATGAAACAAAACAATTACCTGAATGTGATGCCTGCCACTGAAAAACAGTGATTGTTGGATTTTATGGTTGTCATTTTTGCTAAGAATATTCAGTAGTGTGGCTTTTTTTTTTTTTTTTTTTTTTTTTTTTGAGACAGGATCTCACTCTGTCACCCAGGTTGGAGTGCAGTGGTGCAAACACAGCTCAATGCAGCCTTGACCTCCTGGGTGTAAGTGATCCTTCCACCTCAGCCTCCTAAGCAGCTGGGACCACAGGAGTGTGCCACCGCATCTGGCTTTATTTATTTGTTATTTTTTGTAGAGACAGAATCTCACTGTGTTGCCTAGGATGGTCTCAGACTCCTGGCCTGAAGCAGTTCTTCTGCCATGGCCTCCCAAAGTGCTCGGATCACAGGAGTGAGCCTTTGCACTTGGCCTATCTTTGGAATTTTGAAAGCCATTTATTCTTGAAAATTGGTTTCTGAAAATTGTACTTTATGGGATCTGACAAATGTTCTTGGTCTAGGATTTAGACCAAGTTCTAATTCTCTTCTAATTACTAGTCAGGGACATTGAACAGGTCACTGCACCTGTCTGGGCCAGCTCCCTTATGAGTTCAGGCATACAGTCAGTCATATCAACTCTTCTTACATCATGGGATTATTGTGAGACTTTGCACAAAGGGATTTATATTCATATCTGGGAGACCAAGTTGCCATGTAACATTAATTTTCTGCTATTTGTTTACATTTTTACTTTTTAATGACCTAACCTGAAGTCTATTTAAGCTTCTTAAAATCTGTGTTGATTACTGTCAATATAAAGTTAAGTAAAACTTAGAAAGCTGCTAGGCATTACAGTATAAATTCTTAGAATTTTCTCATGTTTTGGTGTCTCATGTGTCTCAGCCCTTTGCTTTTATCCTCTACTAATTTATACAAATTGTTTTCATTCTAGTACTCTTGTCCATCTGTTCTCTGTTGTGTGATCCCAATCCAGATGATCCTTTAGTGCCTGAGATTGCTCGGATCTACAAAACAGATAGAGAAAAGTAAGTATGGCCTCAAGATGGAAAGTTATCTGTGGTGGGATGGAGATGTTTGTCACAAATCTTTCTTGTTTAAGGGCTGAATATGGGCCAGATACTTAAAGTGAAGTCCTAATATACTTATATTCCTAATATAAATTTTTAAATTCCTAATATAAAGAGGAATATATGCATTGAGTATCATAAGTAGACAATGCCGGCCGGGCACGGTGACTCACTCCTGTAATCCCAGCATTTTCGGAGGCCAAGGTGGGCGGATCACAAGGTCAGGAGATCAAGACTATCCTGGCCAACATGGTGAAACCCTGTCTCTACTTAAAATACAAAAAAATTAGCTGGGCATGGTGACGCACGCTTGTAGTCCCAGCTACTCGAGAGGTAGAAGCAAGAGAATTGCTTGAACCCAAGAGGCGAAAATTGCAGTGAGCTGAGATCATGCCACTGCACTACAGCCTGGGCGACAGTGCGAGACTCTGTCTGCAAATAAATAGATAAATAAATAAGTAGATGATGTCAGTCTTATCCCTGATTTTTTAATAAAATCCCCCTTTCTCCCAAAACCTTTTTTTTTTTTTTTTTAAATTATTATTATTTTTTTTAGAGATAGGGTTTCACCATGTTAGCCAGGACAGTCTCGATCTCCTGACCTTGTGATCTGCCTGCCTCGCCCTCCCAAAGTGCTGGGATTTACAGGCATGAGCCACTGCGCCCAGCCCTAAAAAACATTTTTTTTCCTGAGACAGGGTCTCACTCTGCCACCCAGGCTGGAGGGCTATGGTGTGATCTCGGCTCATTGCAACCTGGGCCTCCTGGGTTCGAGCAATTCTTGTGCCTCAGTCTCCCGCGTAGCTGGTATTACAGGCACAGGCCATCATGCCAGGCTCATTTTTAAAAAAATTTTTAATAGAGATAAGGTTTCAACATGTTGGCTAGGCTGGTTTCGAACTTCTGACCTTAAATGATATGCCCACCTAGGCCTCCCAAAGTGCTGGGATTACAGGCATGAACCACTGTGCCTATACAAAAACTTTTCTATGGTATATTTTTCAACAGCTTAATGCTTTATGCTTGTCTTTTGATGCATAAAGCATTTTTCATCAAGTGCCCATTTGTCTCTCATAGGTATTTGTGAATTAATGGGAAAAGAGAATTGATTTTCTACCATTTGACATAATCTAAAGGAAGAAAATAAATAAATGCCATTAGACATGAAAGCCCTGAATTTCTTTTAAAAACAAAATTTGATATAGGATTTGGATATTTTAGAATTGTACTATGAATTATTGAACAGTGGTCAAGATATCAAAAGAGATAGTAGCTAAAAGTGTTTTAGTAGCACTTTATCTTTTCATAAATCTTCAGTTTTTTTTTTTTTTTGAGATGTAGTCTTGCTGTGTTACCTAGGCTGATCGCAAAACTCCTGGGCTCAAGCAGTCCTCCTTCTCAGCCTCTGGAGTAGCTAGGCTTATAAGCATATACTACCATGCCTAGCACTAATAACATCTGTTGTTTTATGTACTATTCAGTGAAATTATAGGAGGAATTAGACAGGAGAGGTTGGATAGTTTTTTTGAGACGGAGTTTCACTCTTGTTACCCAGGCTGGAGTGCAATGGCGCGATCTCGGCTCACCGCAACCTCCGCCTCCTGGGTTCAGGCAATTCTCCTGCCTCAGCCTCC